GCGGCCACTGCACTCCAGGCTGGGTGACAGAGTGAGACTCCAACTCACAAAAAAGAAAAAAATAAAGTTTTGTTTTTCTTTTTATAAATATTATTTACATTCACTGTGAATATTTGAAAAGTGTAAATAAGTGGATAAAAGTCATCCAAAATCCTCTTATATTAAGCCTATTAATAATATATCTGTGTACTTCCTTTCTGTCTTTTTTCTGCATTTTTACAAGCTTGGAATCATACTATAGATTTTTTTTGTGCTTTTTGTTTTCTTGAGTCCAGGTCTTCCTCTGTCACTCAAGCTGGAGTGCAGTGGCATGCTTATGGCCACCACAGCCTCAACCTGCTGGGCTCGGGTGATCCTTCTGCCTCAGCCTTCCAAGTAGCTGAAACTGCAGGCATGTGCCGCCCTGCTCAGCTAATTTTTTTTTTTAATTGTAGAGATGGGGTCTCACCAAGTTGCCCAGACTGGTCTTTGACGCTGAGACTCAGGCAATCCTCTCACCTTGGTCTCCCAAAGTGCTGGGATTACAGGCGTGAGCCACTGTGCCTGGCCTGTTAACATCATTCTCCCCACCCCACATGTCAACATCATTTTTCTTTTTTTTTTTTGAGTTGGAGTCTCACTCTGTCGCCCAGAGGAGTGCAGTGGCCGCTCCCGGCCACCGCAGCCTTGACCTACTGGGCTCTGGCGATCCTTCCGCCTCAGCCTTCCAAGTAGCCGGAATTACAGGCATGCGCTACCACGCCCGGCTGATTTTTTGATTTATTGTAGAGATGAGGTCTCGCTGCCCAGGCGGATCTCGAACCCGTGGGCTCAGGCAATCCACTCACCTCGGCCTCCCAAAGCGCTGGGATTATAGTCTGAGCCACCGAGCCCGGCCAATTTTTTTTTTTTTTGAGTTGGAGCCTCACTCTGTCACCTAGGCTGGAGGGCAGTGGCATGATCACAGCTCACTGCAGTCTTGACCTCCTGGGCTCAGGCAATCCTTCCACTCACCTCAGCCTTCCAAGTAGCTGGGACTACAGGTACAAGCCACCACACCTGGCTGCTTTTTTTATTTTTCTGTAGAGACAAGTTCTTGCTATGTTACCCTAGCTGGTCTTAAACTTCTGGGCTCAAGTGATCCTCCTGCCTCAGCCTCCCAAAGAGTTTGGATTGCAGGCATGAGCCACCATGCCTGGCAAACATTGCTAATTTGATAGGCAAAAAAAAAAATCTCGTATCTGGTGTTTAATTGTGGAGTTTGTTCCTCACTAGTGACCTGGACATTTTTCACATTCCAGTCAATTCTTGCCCAGTTCCCTCTATGAATAGTATTTGGGGAACATTCATTATATTTTGTAGAATGAGAAGTTGTCTCATACAAAATAAAATATAACAATTATCACCGGGCACAGTGTCTCACACCTGTAATCCCAGCACTTTGGGAGGCAGAGGCAGGAGGATTGGCTGAGCCCAGGGATTCAAGACCAGACTGGACAACTTAGTGAGACCTTGTCTCTACAATAAATCAAAAAATTAGCCGGATGTAGTGGTGTGTGCCTGTAGTTCCAGCTACTTGGAAGGTTGAGGAGGAAGGATTAATTAAGTCGAGCAGGTCAAAGCTGTGGTGGCCTCAATTGTGCCACTGCACTCCACCTAGTCAACAGGGTGAGATTCTGACTAAAAAAATATATATATATGTGTGTGTGTGTGTGTGTGTGTATTTGTACAACAGTTGCACAACAGACTCTCAGAGTTCAGGAGTTGGGATGAACTTTCTTGTGTGTCAAGTATTTAAATTCCTTCAGAACATTATATTTTAATTTGATTTATTCTAGTATTGATTTTCTCTGCTTTTTCCTCCCTTCCCCCACTCTCTGGACTATAAGTGCTTTGAAGACAAGGGTTTGTTCTGTTGAAATATAATGTCTACTCTATTTAGACAATCTTTTGAAACTAGTTTTCTTGGAATAATGTCAGTATATATGGTGGTTTGTTTTGTTTTGTTTTGTTTTAAATTGGAGTCTCACTCTGTCACCCAGGCTGGAGTGCGGTGGCATTCTCATGGCCACCACAGTCTTGACCTGCTGGGCTCAGGCGATCCTTCCACG